AGAATTGTATCTAGGAGCTACATTGAATCTGTTATTTGTATTAATATCACACTAATAGGAGAGTTGATCAGAATTCTGTGGTAGTATTATCATGCACTTGCTGAGACCCTGAGAATCTAATGTAATAAATTCCTTTAAATAAAATATTTATTTGAAAGGGCAAGTTATGGGGGCAGGGTGGGCAGTGAGAGAGGGAGAGAGAGAGAGAGAGAGAAAGAGAGAGAGACATCTTCCATCTGCTGATTCACTCCCCAGTGGCCACAATGGCGAGGGCTGGGCCAGGCCAAACCAGAAGCCCAGAACTGGTCTCCCACATGAGTGGCAGTTAGCCAGAGGCTGGATCAAAACCAGGCACTCAGATAAGAGAGGAGGTGATCCAAACAGTGGCTTAGCCCACTCTGCCACAACCCCACCCCTCAAGATGTGAGTTTTCCTGTAGTTTTTTTTTTTTTTTTTTTTTAGCAAGACTGATGCTGGCCGGCACCGCAGCTCACTAGGCTAATCCTCCGCCTGTGGTGCCGGCATCCCGGGTTCTAGTCCCGGTCAGGGCACCGGATTCTGTCCCAGATGCCCCTCTTCCAGTCCAGCTTTCTGCTGTGGCCAGGGAGGGCAGTGGAGGATGGCCCAGGTCCTTGGGCCCTGCACCTGCATGGAAAACCAGGAGAAGCACCTGGCTCCTGGCTTTGGATTGGTGCAGTGTGCCAGCCGCAGCAGCCATTGAGGGGTGAACCAATGGAAAAGGAAGACCTTTCTCTCTGTCTCTCTCTCACTGTCCTCTCTGCCTGTCAAAAAAAAAAAAAAAAGAAAGAAAGAAAGAAAAAAAAAGAAAGAAAAGAAAAGAAAAGAAAAGGAAGAAAGACCAAGACTAATGCCCAGGGGGTGGTGTGTGATTCCACTAGGAGGCAAACGTTTGCACTGTCTGGTGGCGTTTTGTATGTGTGACATGCTTGTCAGGGCTGGGGTCCCTTTGTTCCCCGGGTGCTACCCAGTAACGACAATGCGTTCTGAGTGTCCTCTCTCCCACGGCCAGCTGGAGTCCCTCCAGGAAGAGAAGCCTCGCCTCCTACCTGCTGATCCTCTGAAGTGCAGAGCACAAGGCCAGGAGAATAACTTCTTCTTTCTCGTCCTCAGTCCCAGTCTTCGAAACACTGAGTGTCTCTCCAGCATCAGCAACGGTGACCATTTTTTAAAATCATTTTTAGAACCATTGTGAACTCATGCATTTAAACATTTGATGTATTTTAGTCTATTACAGTTCTTATTGATATTCAAATTATCCTCTTTGACCTCTGGAAATCTGTTCAACATGGCTCCTGAGTCCCTGCACACATCCAATGAGTCTTTCACACCTTTTTTTTTTTTTTAATTTATTTACTTGAAAGTCAGAGTTACACAGAGAGAGAAGGAGAGGCAGAGAAAGAGAGAGAGAGAGAGAGAGAGAGAGAGAGAGAGAGAGAGAGAGAAGTCTTCCATCTGCTGGTTCACTCCCCAGTTGGCCACAATGCCCGGAGCTGCATCAATCTGAAGCCAGGAGCCAGGAGCATCTTCCAGGTCTCCCATGCGGGTGCAGGGACCCAAGGACTTAGGCCACCTTCTACTGCTTTTCCGGGCCATAGCAGAGAGCTGGATTGGAAATAGAGCAGCAGGGACTTGAACTGGCACCCATATGGGATGCCGGCACTGCAGGCAGCGGCTTTACCCACTACGCCACAGTGCCAGCCCCTTTCACAACTTCTTTGCTACTGATTTTCTTTCTTTAAAAATTTTCAAAATCTAATTAATTTGAAAGGCAGAAAGAGAGAGAGAGAAAGACACACAGAGGTGTCCCATCCAATGGTTCACTCCTCAAATGACCACAACAGCCAGGGGTGGGCCAGGCAGAGGCCACGAGCCAGGAACTCCATCTGGGTCTCCCACAGGGGTAGCAGGCGCCAAAGCACTTGGGCCGTCTTCCATTGCTTTCTCAGGTGCATTTACAGAGAGCTGGATTGGAAGTGGAGCAGCTGAGACTAGGACCGGCACTCCAACATGGGATCCTGGTGTCGCAAGTGGTGGCTTAATTTGCCATGCCCCAGTGCCAGCCTCCTGGTGCTGATTTTTCTAGCCCTCCCAGCCTCTCCTGTACACTGCCCCAGACCTGAATCCATGTTTTGCTAAGGAGCCGTGGTCCTTTTTAGAGGGAAGTGATAGTCAGAGCTCATGAGCTGGGTGCTTGGGCTATAATCTGCTTTTACATTTTCTTTCTGTTTTCACTTATTTTGAAATAACTTTAGATTTACAGAAAAGTTGCAAAAATTAGCACAGAAAGTTCCTGTATATCCCCTCACCCCGCTTCCTCTAAAGTTGATGTCTTACGTAACCGTAGTACAGTTATCCAACCAAGAAACTGACGTTGGTACAGTGTTATGAAGGATCTTCCCAAAGCTCATGGGAAAATGCACATTCTAGAAAAATTGTTGCAGCAAAATGAATGAGCCTTTTAATGTCTTTTCCACACAGTTTGAAGTGCGCTCATATTAAACTACAGAATTGATCTGAGTTCACCAATTTTTTCATTATCGCCCCATTTTCATTTTCCATCCTAGCATCCGGGGCAGGAACCCCACGGTATGCAGTCATTGTTTCTGCTTTATCGCTCCACTCTGCAACAGTTCTCCAGAACTCCCTCTCTTCAGTGCCCTTGACACTTCCAAAGAGCACAGCTCAGCTCCGGGCCAGAACACCCTTCACTTCACCACGGGTTTGCTTCCTGTTTTCTCTTGACCAGAGTGAGGGTTTGCCTTAGGAAAGAAACACAGATGGGCGACCCCTCCGCCGGAGGCATCAGGGATGACTATCTTTCCCTTTGTGGCTAATAACTATCTTGGGGAAACACTGTGAAACCACACACTGTGTTTCTCTTCAGCTGATACCCACAAAGTTTAGCATTTGCCAAGGG